GGTAAGTAAGTAGACGAGTCTAGTATATATATATATATATATATATATATATATATATATATACATATACATATATATACATATACATATATATTTCATATCGGGATAATAATATGCGCAGTCACGGACTATCATTGAGCATCAGATGCGCTTGGCGGTTGAGTTCCGTTGACCCGTCACTCAGTGCGCCGTCGTCATTAGACGAACTCTCATCAGATGAGAACACGCGCATGTTGAACGCAAAGTCCAATTGATTGGTCGACGGCTTCTTAGACACACTCGGTTCATGTTCCCTATCCGGGCTCTCGGTTCTATTTTTATCCACTATCCCTGGCATCTGATTGGATGTCGCCAAGGTACTTACTCCCGCCGCTGTAGCAAGCATTTGATTGGGTGGCGCGGCGGGGGGTCGTGCGGGTTGTTGTAGCAAGGGGACTGCAGCTCCAGCTGTGTGTTGCGTTGGGGTGGACTTGTTGGCTGTAACGCCCTGTGGCTGGCCTCGTATCTGGGTACAAGCGAATAAGTGTCAGACAAACAGTTTGTTAGCAAACGAGATTTAATAGCTTCCCAGATAAATATTGTTGAATAAATGGGTTCGTGGCTTGCAGGATGCAACGTTAAATGATCACGATTCAAGAAGTCGTCTGCAAGTGCCAAGTAGGCATCAGTTGTATAGTGTGATGTATCTTGCAATATATATATATATATATATAAGTAATGAATATATATATATACATATACATATATATATGATCTTAGATGCAATACGTCCGTGTCTGTTCCCATCCTACCATGCATCGCTGTCTGTGATCACACGCCCTCACAGCTTACCATTGACTCCTGCAGTCTTATCTGTGGCGTGACCCCCTTGTTCTGATTCTTCTCAATGATTTGCCGTCGGAAGAGTATGGACTGGTCCAGCTCATCCTCGTCAAAGTCAAATGCCGTGAGATCGCGCTGATGGGTCGATGGAGCACAACAGAGTGAGCCATGGTATAGTATAGTATAGTATAGTGACATAGTACTTATGGGATATAAAACACTTACCTACGGTTGGGATAATATTCATTTTGCAGGAAGAGAGATAGAGAGGGATAGGTGAATGGCAGTGTAATATAGTATCGCGACTGGCTGTTATGCGAGTGCTTGGTACTTGAGTCCCTTATCGCTTAATGAAATGGATGCGTTGGTGCACCTGCGCGTGTGTGAGGCTTACTCGACATACCGTTCGTAGGGGACTCTGGGATGAAAGACGGGTAAATGTGTACCACATACACACACACATACACACATCCATACAAATGCATTTGCGGGCGGCGCAGTGCATAGAGCATAGTAATAGACACACACAGCAGTGTGACCATGAGACGCACACAGCACAGCCAATCGTTGACAGTAGATATACATATCACACATGCTCTGAAGGATCACAGACGGCTATATGTGTACCACCAACGGCCACATACACACACCCATACAAATGCATCTGCAGATAGACAGACGAGAAGATACACCAAGGGCGCTCTCCTCAGCCCATCTCTCGATCTCTGTGCGATCGACAGCTGGGGTGAGTGAACAGATACACCTGCGTCTACTGATAGTCAACACGTAGAATGAACTATTATACATGGACTGGCCCACCGTTTGAACAGATACACGTATACCCACTGGTGAAAAACCGTATAACGCACTGCTATATACATGTAAGTGCTTGCTTAACTTTTGAACCGATACTCATGCATCCACTGGTAAATATACGTATAACGCATTGATAAATACATGTATGCGCGTACCATTTGAACAGATACACATGCATCCACTGGTAAATATACGTATAACGCATTGATAAATACATGTATGCGCGTACCTTTTGAACAGATACACATGCATCCACTGGTAAATATACGTATAACGCATTGATGAATACGTGTGTGCGCTCACCCTTTTGCGCTCAGCCGCCGGTGTGAGTGAGTTGAGTCGCCTTTTCCCGTGCAGTGCCGATCTGTTCACAGACGACGCGGTGGAGGACAGGGCAGACGCCGAGAAGACGAACCCACCCAATACACTGGCTAAAGAGGAGATGAGGGGGGATGGAAGTCAGGCAGATACACACGTGTATAGGAGAAGAGGTGTGTGTATGTGTCTATATGCTTAATACGGAACGAAATTAGGGATTGAGATAGGAACATGAGAGTCTAGAGAATACGGACAGAAAATATGTATTAGTTGTGCGAAATATGACCAGCAAGTCACAATACCAGACACCTTTCTCAGTTATGCATGGATACATACATACATACACACACACACACACACATACACCCACACACACACACATATATATATATATACATATATATATATATATACATACATACATACATATATGTATATTAGTTTATG